ATAATGTACAGCCTGTCATAGCCTCAATGTACAGCCTGTCATAGCCTTAATGTACAGCCTGTCATCCCCTTAATGTACAGCCTGTCATGGCCTTAATGTACAGCCTGTCATGGCCTTAATGTACAGCCTGTCATAGCCTTAATGTACAGCCAGTCATCCCCTTAATGTACAGCCTGTCATAGCCTTAATGTACAGTCAGCCATCGCCTAAATGTACATCCTGTCTTGGTCATAATGTACAGCCTGTCATAGCCTTAATGTACAGCCAGTCATCGCCTTGATGTACAGCCTGCCTTGGTCATAACTCATAATGTACAGCCTGTCATAGCCTTAATGTACAGCCAGTCATCCCCTGAATGTACAGCCTGTCATAGCCTTAATGTACAGTCAGTCATCGCCTTAATGTACAGCCTGTCATAGCCTTAATGTACAGCCTGTCATAGCCTTAATGTACAGTCAGTCATCGCCTTAATGTACAGCCTGTCATGGTCATAATGTACAGCCTGTCATAGCCTCAATGTACAGCCTGTCATAGCCTTAATGTACAGCCTGTCATCCCCTTAATGTACAGCCTGTCATGGCCTTAATGTACAGCCTGTCATGGCCTTAATGTACAGTCAGTCATCGCCTTAATGTACAGCCAGTCATGGACATAATGTCCAGCTAGTCATGAACGTAATGTAATGTCTTTGGCAATATTAAAGTCAACAAAAATCAGGACTCATTAGACAATCGACATGTTTATGTATTTAAAATATTCATGTGCCCAATTAATTAGCAACGAATTTAAAATCAGAAAAATGCTACAGAATCTGGGTGCATTTCCGTGTCCTCTCCTCGTTTCATTATATTATTTTTAGCGCATTTTCTCATTTATGGATAAAATGCCCTATTGTGCTCGTCATGTCCGTCTGTCTGTCTGTCCGTCCGTCCGTCCGTCTGTCCGTGACTTCACGTTTTCGTCGACGAGAAAATGCGCTCTCTGTCACTCACTGCAGTGAGTAGCGAGTTCATTTCATTTTTGTTTTTAATCATTGATTTAGTACAAAGATACCTTCTATTTTTATTTTAGGTGACTGATTTAGCAAGAAATACTTTTCTCCAGCGTAATTAACAAACCAATCAAAAAATTTCGTTTGCTATCGCAAGATGATGCATCGACATTTGTACTGATTTTTCATGAATTAATAATTTATTCAAGATAATGTTTAGTAATTATAATCTAATCTAACAATTTATTAAGATCAAAACTAAAATCTTTAGTTAGGACTTATGCCTGAACTGGCTATGTCCATTGCTTCTCAATAGTTGATTTTTTTTTTTTTGGACTTCTCAAACTTTAATTGTGTGTAAAAAGTAGTGTATTTAGAAGATCTTGTTAAGCTGTGTATAATCATTCGAAAAGATCAGGAATTAATTGGTACATAAAAAGATCAGAATATTTTGCTAATTAATCTCAGAGCGGCGACTTCTCCCGCAATTATCTACTAAATATGTCGTCATTTCTTATTTAGATTATAATTTTGAACTGGAGTCATAAGTAATAAAATTTAAATTTTAGTAGGACGAACAAAAAACGTTACTTGTATCCTCCATAAGTGGTTCAATATTTGTTCGATATTTGCATGCTTCAAAATTTCAGGAATGTTGCTTACATTCACTGAAGAATAAAGCTAAATTATTAAAACAAGACCAAAACTTATTATTAGTCGTGTTACGCGATGGCAACAGCGCTGGCGCTCTGACGTTTGCATTAAAATTGATTTATAATTATAGTGGGAAATTTTTCTAGAGTATATTTGAGCTGATTTTCATTAATTGATAATTGTGGAAGCAGCACTTTTTTTCTGCCTTTTTTCCAGCATTCAACCAGGTAGACTTTTTCTTTCCATCATTTCTGAGTATATGATTATCATTTTTCTACAGGACGTGTTTTGTTAGCTCATTAGGGTTGGCAATTAGTCTCAGTTAATAATGATTGTTTACGACTCAAAATTATTATACGAGGATTAAATGTCAGTTCTTGGAATTTTTCCCTGTATTTTAAAGCTCTTGGTATCATAGTATGACTTTTAATTAATTTAAAAATCACTATTCCGTTTAAATAAAAAATCACATTACAGTATGATTTAACTTTACGATAAAATATACATTGTAACTTCGAAGCTCACGTATTTCACACATAGAGGCCAGAGAAGCATGACTTGGTCGACTATTTTTTGTGGTTTAATTTTACTAAAGTTAACTTCGAATTTATTAGATTAGAGTAGAATTAAATTACCCTAAGTTGAAACTTCTCGTGCACAACTGATTCCATTTCTTAATGCTGTATAGGAGTTGTAGTCTGGAGCCAATTTCATTCAATTGTTATTGTTATTATTATTATTATTATTATTATTATTATTATTATTATTAGTGAGCTAATTTAGTCTGATGTCTTTCTTCAGTATGTTATATTCTTGAACCATATTGTTGAATACCTCGTTAACCTTTTTATTTCGTATTACAAAATTGTCATATCTTTATGTGCAGAAACTCACCATCAAGAAACCTGATAAAAGTATCGAATCATATTGTTACTTTCACGAAACTTTGGGGAAACCTTTATACCCGATAATACGGTGAATTTCTTGAGAAATAACACGTCATTAGAATGAATTTGAAAATAATTTATATATTTTGTATACCTACGTGATTAAATACCCTTGAATGAATCGCCTCAATGCAATTCGAATTATTAAGGCCTAAAACGTTCTTTAAGTCGCAGGAAAGCGTGAATATTTCCTAACATGAAGGCATAATCCAGCAATTTTACGTACTCAACTCAGTCTCTTACACTTTCTAGCAATAACACAAGGTTCAACTGAACGATAAGACTTTCAGAAAGTAATCTTTCAAGTCTTTTCGTCACGGTTACTGCACAGTTTCTCGAGTATCTCGAGCTCAATTATAACTTGGAGGCCTGCAGTCTGCGAGAATTTTGCCCGTCATCCAACACCAGCCCGGCCACCGCGGCCAGAGTTTGAACAGCTTTGCCGCCCCGACACCTTAGGAGAGATTGCGTGATGGAACTTGAATTATTTTAAACTTTTCTCCTGTTTATTTGCATGAATTTATTTATGCAAATAAACTTACATTTGCACAAACAAATAAAATTTATTTATACAAATTTAGATAAATTATACAAATTTATACTGTTTATTTGTATAAATTTTTATAATTTATCTACTGCGATAAGCTCAGGGCTGCTTATCGCAGCCCTGAGCGACACCTTAAGAGAGACTCCGTGATGGAACTTGAATTATTTTACATTTTTCTACGGTTTATCTCCTATGTTCATTCATATAAATAATAATAACATCGAGTTGCAGGGAATATCGGTTAAGTTTGCAATAAGTCTTCTTGTAATTAATTTATCATTACCTGCATTGGTTAAGTATATGCAATGAGGTTTGAAGGGAGAAATTGTATGGCTAGAAACTTTTCTTCAAGTTATTCGGAAAGTAAACGTGTATGAAATAAAGCATATATTATTTATATATTTACGACTTATTTCATAGAATATCCGAGTGCTTCGCATTTGGACGAACAAATGATGCCGCTTTTTTCTCGTAGACTTTCTTAAAATGATAAAGCACCACAAAACAAAAGAGAACAAATCACTGAGCCATACGAACAAAAAAACTGAGCTATAAAAACGCAGCATTGCAGGGATGTAAATCATGACTCTGTTTCCTCGCTTGGCCTTACAGAAAACAATGTAAATATTATGCGGCTTCCAGACACGGTGCAACTTTAACCCGAACAAAAAAAAAGTCAGTGGAGCGAATAAAATTGCCTTCTTGGAATAATACTATAGAAGTATATTATTTTAGGAACATGTTTGTATATCTTATATAGTTTATGAAAATGTTTTAATTATCTGGAAATATATACAAATATATTTTGATCGACTAAGATGACTTTACGGAAAATATTCCCGGATCCTGCCAGTGGCTAAGGAATGTTCGAGTAAATAATTATAAAATAATAAGTTGTGTTTTTGAGGATTGAATTTAATTTTAGGATTTAATTTAATGTGCGGTTAAGATAGATTGCGTAAAATAGATTATAATTAGTATGAAATAACGTAAAATAACTCGATTTGAGAATATTCTCAGGAAATGATCAAAAAGTTTTAATGAATAATAAGGTATCAATAAATAAAATTACGTCACTGAAACGTTTTTAGATTTTTGGGCTTTACATCTACTAAGATTGTTGCATTTATATGTCATCATTGTTTATAAGAATTCGTAACTAAGCATTATGAATTTCCGTGTATTACACCGCATAAAATTCAAGCTATTTTTGAACACATCATTGTGATAAAAAAATCCACAAATCAAGGTGAATCAGTTGAATTAGCATCAATTATTGTTCTCATGGTAGCGCCCTAAAAATATTAATTGGCAGTATATTGAGATTGTTACAAAAGATTGTAACAATCTCTTTATCTCAATATCTTTATCTCAAAAGAAGATAAAGATTGTTACAATAAATCTGAAATGTTATGATTGAGTGTGCCGGTGATGGGATGTAGGGGAACTGCCGGTGATGGGATGTAGAGAACTGCAGGTGATGGGATGTAGGAGAACTGCCGGTGATGGGATGTAGGAGAACTGCCGGTGATGGGATGTAGGAGAACTGCAGGTGATGGGATGTAGGAGAACTGCCGGTGATGGGATGTAGGAGAACTGCCGGTGATGGGATGTAGG